GTACGAGTTGTGTAGGAAAACATCATTCCGATGAGACTATGATTTGTTTTGTTTATTTTATCGTTCCGATTTACCCGTACTTTCAATACTATAAAAAACCCATAACTCATGAACCGATCATAAAAATTAAACCGGAAAATGGTTTTCATGGGTGGAGAAAATAAGAAAATCAGAAAAAAATTATTTTCCGAGTTGCGATAGTTATCCTAAAAAAAATGTTTTTGCTTAAAAGATTCTTAATTTTTCACTGGTGATACTTTCAGAGTGGTGTCTCTCACCGTTATGGATGTTTAAAGTATTTGAAGTTCGGGAAAATTGTAAAAACTAGAGATCATCAGGAAATTGTGCTAGGGTCCTAAAAACAAAAAAATCAATTCCCTGAACTGTCCATAATTTCTTTAAGATCAAAGTTCCTTGATCTCAAATATGATAATTCATGATCCCGGGATATCAAGCCTTCTGATGTCCAACTGGGTTAATTTTACTTTTATTTATAGGGTTCCAAATGCAATCAAATTAATCATGGAACTTCACGTGGTTCAACCCTGGAGGTTCAACTTTCGGAACGTTCTAATTAATATTATTTTGCATATCAGTCGGTGTCCGAGCCGGTACTTTTCTCGACACCAACTACTTACACACTTAATTCGAGCACTTACTGCCATTTCAGCAAAAAGTGAATTTTGTGACATTTTCTGCGACTTAGCAATCAAACATCCCTTTTGCTGAGAGCTCTCGCTTTTCCAGTTTAATGATCTAACAGCGAGTCAAAGATTTCTAGAATAATGAAGTTTCACTTTGAGATTGTCCTATAGCCTTGTCTGATTTTTCTTCAAACTTGAGTAATTTATTTTTAATCATTATATTCCAAGAGAATTGACTTAAAAAGGGTTAAAGTTTTTCCATAATAATTAATCACGGGACACCCATGATTGAGGCATCATGAAGAATGCTATTGGAAAAGTATAACCGCACTGAACATTCAGATATGTATCAAATTTAAACGGAACGTTCAGCTAATAGAACAATAAAATTGATGCCAACGTGTAGCGGAAATATTTGTCTATAAGAGCGGCCAACTTGCAGAACAATCAATATTGTTTCAATAGGTGAATATTATTGATTTTCAACCACTATTTGCTAGTTGATTCTAACATTTCTCAAAAGAAGATAATTGTATGGTATTTCTAGTAAATATAGTCCACTACAAAGCTAATATTTGAGAACTACAAAAGTCGATTCGCTATTAAGAAATATACAATAGCACATTTATCAACCTGCACTTGGTAGAAACCGTTGTTTCAAAAATTATTTCTGGTAGAAATTAAAATGTATCACATGAGATCGTGTTTTCCGTTCATATCATTCTCCCTAACACAGACATCAGAGTCAAACGACTGTCAGTTCATCATACATGTTTATTCGTTCATTTTAACCTACATACTAGTATCAAACGAAACCCTGTGAATCATCATGACTGAAACCGCTGAAGTTGCCGCCGCGGCGCCTGCTGCTGCCTCGCCAGCCAAGACTCCGAAGAAGGCCAGGGCCACCAAGGGAGACGCTAAGAAGCCAAAGAAGCCAGCTACTCATCCACCAGCGAACGAGATGGTCATTGCAGCTATCAAGACCCTGAAGGAACGCAAAGGATCGTCCCTACAGGCCATCAAGAAGTACATCGCTGCGAACTACAAGTGCGACGTTGCCAAGCTGTCCATCTTCATCAGAAAGGCTCTGGTCAGCGGTGTCGAGAAGGGCACTCTAGTCCAGACCAAGGGATCCGGTGCTTCAGGATCGTTCAAGCTCAAGGTCGACGAAAAGAAACCTAAGAAGGCCACCGGAGAGAAGAAGGCAAAGAAGGCTACCGGTGAGAAAAAAAAGGTCATCAAGAAACCCGTCACCAAGAAACCTGCTGGTGAGAAGAAGGCCAAAAAGCCGGCAGCCAAGAAGCCTGCCGGTGTGAAGAAAGCCAAAGCTGTCGTTGCCAAGGCCGCCAAGAAGGCCGGAACTGTGAAGAAGCCTGCTGCTCCCAAGCAAAAGGCCACCAAGCCCTCGAAGACTGCTGCCAAGAAGCCAAAGACCCCGAAGCCGAAGACGGCTGCCCCAGCCAAGAAAGCTGCACCGAAGAAGGCCGCCGCCAAGAAGTAAACTTGGAAACGACGCCCCCAACATGTGTCATACACGAAATAATTACCCAAATCAGTCCTTTTCAGGACTACCATTATTGATTTCCATCAAGAGTTTGCTTTTGGAATAATCTTTTGACGTATGATTACGTCTTTCGGCAACATATTAGGGCCTGTTCATAAACTACGTAGACAGTTTTTTGGGATTATTGACCCCCCCTCCCCCTGCGTAGACAATTGTCCATACAAAATTTTTTAAATTTGTATGGGCCTTGGATAATTGTCAACCCCCCCCCCCCCCGAAACTGTCTACGTAGTTTATGGACAGCCCCTTAGGGGTGTTATTTCAAAAAAACCAAAATCGACCGTGTTACGAAAGTGGTCAGGTTTTGACCAATTATAACTCTGTGAATACCGGATGGATTTTAATTCCAAACAAGCCAATCAGTTGACAATTTGTTCTGCGAATCTGCTAAAATGAACATGTTTTTAATTTTCAATATCGCACACTATTGAATATTACACAAATGTCCAACTGTTGCAATGGTGATCCAAATTATCATCGATTACCTGCAAAAAGCGCTTTCCTTAACATAGATTTCAAAATCGAATTCCATTCGGTCTCGGTCAATCACCGTGTGTGGTAGTGTCCGGTCGGTCGTCATCAGCAGCAGTGCTTTCGGCGCGTGGCGGTGAACATTGTTCTCCTTTTCACCGAAAGGCTGGCCACCATTTTTAATTGAAGGTTTAGCAATATTTTTCCCAAAGCAATTTTTTACATTTATGATCGTAAAATTGATAAATTTTTATTTGTGTTAAGTGTAAAATTCCCTTTTTGTTCATTTTCTCTTGAAACTCGTCAATATTATAATGTCGCCCGTAGATCCAAAACGTTAAGAATACGCCCTCATTAAATCGCCCATAACATGTATGACATCCAGGGAGAACGACACCTTAGGATTATCCCATTTTTACCCAAATCTCTCATAAAATTTTCAAATTCAATCCATCTTATCTAATATTTCTATTCCCAACTTATCCCTTCTGAATACACACAAATTATCAAGCAAGACGTGCAGTTTCTGGCCGTAGTTTTCAACAATCTCATTAAAATAGACGTTACTGTTTTATGCATTAATGACGATGACGCTTGATGTGTGCTGTCTTTTGTCTACCTATTTTATCGTTTATTTTCACAAATAGACTAACGTTTATTTTATATTTCTACCTTTCATAAGAGACGACGTATGTATCAACAGGTAGGATTTGGATGATAATTTCTATTCAATGTACATAGTTTCCGTTGAGAGCTTGGTAGCAAGAAGCAATTTGCTCAGAGTGTATATAGTAGCTATGCTTCTACCCGGTTCATGAGCCTTTGTTAGTTTCCTGCAATTCTGGGCCGCATTTGAATATTTTGTGGATGATCATTTTCTTCTTTCAACAGAAGTAATCTTAAACAGTTTGCATTATGATACTTATGGTCATCTTCAAAAAACATTAATATTTGAATAACAAGAACACACTTCGTCGGATTCATGCAATACTGTCATTAGAAATAAGAATGGTCAAAATTTTCACTTTGGATTTGACTTTTTATGAATGAATAGCAATGTTTTGACAATCCACTGCTAGCGAAACAAAGGAAGATCAAACAAGAAGCCCATCTTATCCCTGAAAAATAAGCTTGCTGTTTATAGACAACTAATCCTACCTGTTATAGAGTATGGTATGCCAGTCCGGTAGAGTTGTTCCAAATACCATCATCTTAAACTGCAAAGGATCCAGAACAAGATCGTTAGGCTGATCCTTAACAGTCCCGCGGACTCTTAATTCTGAGATCCACCTTCTGACTGGAATTCAGACATTAGAAAAACGGAGAGTATTCATCCTGGAATGGTTCAAAGACACCTGTCTGAGATCAGATCATACGTGATCTAGCACTTTAGATAGGTAGGTTATCACATTTTTCAATTTCAACACAAGGCACCCCTGTAAACTAGTTGAAAAACGCAAATACAAAATTAGAATATGCAATGAAACAGAGATGAAGAGCCAGATAGGCTACAATGTACAATCATAATTAAAGGAAATAAACGTAATTTTACTACTACTGTAGAAGTGTAAAAACAATGCACACAAAATAACCGAAATAAAACAAATGTCCACACCCGAAAACAAAAAAAAAATGTGGACAAAATATAGGCCAAGAAAAAAAAGTGGTCCAAGGCTTTTTTAAAAATTTCATCATAAAGATTCTGAAAGAAGTTGCCATCAAAAACACTTTTTGATTCATGTTGTGGCCCTGAAAAGGGCCGTTTTGATGGTATAGTTGATAATGCTGATTTAACCTCCGAAACCATACAGAGTGCGTCCCTGTCGCTTCAGAGCGTAGACGACATCCATGGCCGTGACGGTCTTACGCTTGGCGTGTTCAGTGTAGGTGACGGCGTCACGAATCACGTTTTCGAGGAACACCTTCAGCACGCCTCGGGTTTCCTCGTAGATCAGCCCAGAAATACGCTTGACACCACCACGACGAGCCAGACGACGGATGGCGGGCTTGGTAATACCCTGGATGTTATCACGCAACACCTTACGATGACGCTTAGCTCCTCCTTTGCCGAGTCCTTTGCCTCCTTTGCCACGTCCGGTCATTGTAGATGCTGATTTAAACTGTCTTTGGGTACGATTGAAACGAAAATGATTCTTAATTTGACCATTAATGCATCTTTTATACCCATTTGAGGGTTAGATTCTTCTTGCTAGTTGTTGTACTCTTGTTCTTACGTGATTTGTGATTGGTTGAACATAGCAAAATTATGGTATAAAATCGAGGGGAAGACGGTCAAAATTTTTATTCAACATCTTCGATTCATCGTATGCGCATCGCAACTAAACATAATGGCTCGTACCAAGCAGACCGCACGTAAGTCCACCGGAGGAAAGGCTCCTCGCAAACAGCTGGCCACCAAAGCCGCTCGCAAGAGCGCTCCGGCCACCGGAGGAGTGAAGAAGCCCCATCGCTACCGGCCAGGAACCGTCGCTCTGCGTGAGATCCGTCGTTACCAGAAATCGACCGAACTGCTGATCCGCAAGTTGCCTTTCCAGCGTCTGGTCCGTGAAATCGCTCAGGACTTCAAGACCGACCTGCGCTTCCAGAGCTCGGCCGTCATGGCCCTGCAGGAAGCCAGTGAGGCCTATCTGGTCGGTCTGTTCGAAGATACCAACCTGTGCGCCATCCACGCCAAGCGTGTCACGATCATGCCAAAGGACATCCAGCTGGCTCGTCGTATCCGTGGTGAACGCGCTTAAATTTCTCCAACGCACCGTTTTAAAACCGGCCCTTTTCAGGGCCACTACTCGCAATCCACAAGAGAGTTTAGATGGAACATTCCTATTGCAATTTAAATTGTTGTCCCTTTAATTGATCCTTTTGTATGTACAGTTGTTTTTGGTGGAAGTAATAACTTTCAGTTTGCTTTACTCAAAGACAGATATAACGGTAAGGCTTTGTTCAAGACGGTAGAAAAAAAGCATAAGCAAATGGGGTCGATCAAAACATTTTAGCGGGAAGTCCTTCCAATCACCTCTCCGTGCATCTCTTATCTACCGATTGAGAAAACCAAAATTGACTGAATAGAATGATTGTTTTTAAGATTCCGTGCGTTTTGTGCATAAGAGTTAGTCCTTAGTCCTATCGATTCTAGTTCTAGTTGATGCACATTCAAGCGTCTGTTGGACCGGTGCCGTGAATCTGGTCAGGTAATGACGATTACCTTTCGGAATATGAATACGAATAAACCGTCTTCAACTGTTTTTGTTTGCTCGAGCACAGTAACGGAAAACTGGACTAATTACACTGTTGAATAAGATTTTATGCGACGGAATACGGGACAAGAACATTTATCTTTGGTCAGTTTTAAGGTGCGTTTACTTATTATTAGGACGGTTACAGCACGGGTAACTTAAGGCTAATGGCTGATTTATATAGAGACATACTGGAGTTGTATAGTCTCCCAAGTCTGCTATATTTTGGCAGAAGAGCTGTGCTTCCATATATTAACGTCCCTTTAAACAAACCACCCTTGAAGATGTTTGGCAGAAGAGCCGTCCTTTGGTCGAAGAACAAGAAAAATGGCCTTTATGTACTGTTTATTCGGCTACTGTTTATTCGGCTTTTCGTAGCTGCTCGATTATGTTGCCCACACAAGAGCTTCTCTAATCTGAATTTGTTTATTATTGGTATTTATCTTTTTACAGTGTGAACTTTGGTTCTATTTTAAACTTTTAAATTTCCTATATAACTACAACATATTATTTACAAAATTATTGGTTAAGATTTATTATTTTTTCGTACTCTGAATTTAGTGTCCTAGTTTGGTGCTAACTGGCGAGCGCAGTCATTCTCTGGTCGATTTGATCGAGATTTGCCAGCCGATGAACGTCGGCTATCCGTGTGCGCGGGGGCAGATTCAGAATCATCTTCAGGAACTTGTTCTACAAGACTTGGAGCTTCTTCCGATGTGTTTTAACGCAACCTTTCCATACCGGAGACCCATTCTATAGCATAGGCGCAACAATCTGCCTGTAGACAGCCAGCTTGTTGACGGTGGATGCTTTCGATTGACGGTTGATGATCGGATACAGACGTTTCAGCATCATGGTGCCTTTTTTGACTCGGTCTTCCACGAGCGACCGGAAGAGGAGCTTACTGTCGAGAATCAGGCCAAGGTAGCGTACCACGGGTGACCACTCAGTTTCAGCGTTCAGAACCTTTATCTTTGATGACGGTTTGAGCCGGTCGGTGTTGCTATGCGGAAACACAATGGTTTGCGTTTTGGCCGCGTTCACACATATCTTTCAGTCGGTGAGATAAATGGTGTAAACATCCAATCCGTTTTGGAACTTCGATACGAGAGTGCGCATTACTCGTCCCTTGTAGCTGATTGCCGAATCGTCAGCAAACAGCGACAGTGTTCCACCTTCCGGCAGTGTCGGTATGTCCGATGTGTACAGATGGTACAATATGGGTCCCAGGATGCTTCCTTGAGGGACTCCGGCGGGTACATCATACTGTACCGAGGGAGCACTGCCTACGTATACTTGAGACGTCCTGCCGTCGAGGTAGTCCGAGATGATCTTCATCAGGTAGCTGGGGAAACGAAATTGAAGAGCAGCCACAAATCGGGTGGTATTTATATGCATTGGTCGATTAAGAATACATTTTTCATCTCTCATTTTATTGTATAGAGGGGTGCCTCATAGGCATGAAATACGAAAATATGCCTTCATGTGAACTAAAAAATGCCAATAAATCAAACTCTTTAGTTGGTGAAATCAAATTGGTCGCCCTGAAAAGGACGGTTTTGTACAGGTTGGGCGTGGTCTCCGATCAAATTTAAGCCTTCTTTTCGGTCTTCTTGGGCAACAGGACGGCCTGGATGTTCGGCAGGACACCACCCTGGGCGATGGTCACCCCGGACAGCAGTTTGTTCAACTCCTCGTCGTTGCGGATGGCCAACTGCAGGTGACGTGGGATGATTCTGGTCTTCTTGTTGTCACGGGCGGCGTTTCCTGCCAACTCGAGAACTTCAGCGGCCAGATATTCCATCACGGCAGCCAGGTAGACAGGAGCACCGGCACCAACGCGCTCGGCGTAGTTGCCCTTCCTCAGAAGACGGTGAATACGACCAACTGGGAACTGCAATCCAGCGCGGCTCGAGCGGGACTTTGCCTTTCCCTTAACTTTTCCACCTTTGCCTCGACCAGACATGTTTCGATGTAGTAGGGTAGATGACGATGTGAAAATAAAACGAGCAGCTTTATGCTCAAACTGTACTGATGCCGTTTAAGCTCGTCGAAGTTGCTTTTATACCTGCGTCGAGCAGCATATTATACATACAAGAAGGGTAGCATAAAACGGGTTTTGATTAAAATACATAAAAGGGGACGAGTGTCGGTTGCCATTCTACGGGTATAAAAAGAAACACCATCTTCTTACAAAAATTATTAGTTATTCTGTACCCAAGTTGACAGCTTTACTATGGCACCAAAAACCAGTGGAAAGGCCGCCAAGAAGTCCGGCAAGGCTCAGAAGGCCATCGTCAAGGGAGACAAGAAGAAGAGGAAGCCACGCAGGAAGGAAAGCTATGCCATCTACATCTACAAAGTGTTGAAGCAGGTTCACCCAGATACCGGAGTCTCGTCGAAGGCCATGAGCATCATGAACAGCTTCGTCAATGACATCTTCGAACGTATCGCTGCTGAGTCGTCCCGTCTGGCTCACTACAACAAACGCTCGACGATCACCTCTCGCGAAATCCAAACCGCTGTCCGTCTGCTGCTGCCGGGTGAGTTGGCCAAGCACGCCGTCTCCGAAGGAACCAAGGCCGTCACCAAGTACACCAGCTCCAAATAAATTCGTACCATCGAAACTACAAATCGGCCCTTTTCAGGGCCACCAATCGATTTTCAACGTAAAAGAGTTTAAGTTTTGATGATTTCTGTTAAATGTTTGGAAGCAGTATTGGAAAAGTTCGTGATATTTTACGATATTTGCCTAGTGAAACTTTCCCATCACGGTTCACGAATTTGTTGTTTAGACGTGTGTGATGTGTTTCATGTTTGATCATTTTTATTTTCACAAAGCAGAAATAAATTGAAATTGTTATTAAATTTTCAATTCAATTCTCAATTACATTCACCTGACATATTTTGAGGCATAATTGTCTATTTGATTTAAATTTTGAAGAATTAATGAAACTTTGCGTTCGGTTGCGCATCTTTTTTAAAATGTATTCAGAAAATAATGATTTTTTTTCCAAATTTCATTACACATTTTTTTTATTTCTCATAAAATAATAGCATTGATCTGGAAAATATAAGATTGATCAGTACCGATCAAAGAAATATTATAAAAGAATTCTTTTGAACGAATGTTCAAAATATAATACTAAAACGGAAATTTCAGACAAATTTTATAGAATATCTCAGTTATTTGAAGATGTACAGCTTTCATGCCTTCTGGAATTTTCCATCAGATTCTACGTTCTACAACTTTTTCCAAGTCCGCAAACCTCTATCTTGTGGATTATAAAAATTTGTATAACCTCGCCATATTCGTGACAAAAACTTGAAATTTTTTTACCAAAAAACTGTAGCCCTAATTATTTCACGAAACTTCACTGAAGACGTTATTTTTTTTCAGTTAGATTTAATTTCTGGCCCACTGTGCAATGTAACGTTGATCGATTGCCATCATAGACATAGTCCTACTGTCCTACTAAGTTCAGGGAAGTCCTACCATTTCAATTCTTGGATGTTGGTTTACTGTCACAATATTGGACATGTTTGCGAATGATTTTCAAAATGGGGATTTTTAAAATAGTTCAGTTAATCTAATTATCTTCAAAAATATTCAGACACACATCAAAATACCTCTGTCAAATAGGATGAAATTTACTCAGAATATATTCAAATACTTGAGAAACAAATTGTGGCAATGATCAATAAGGTTTAAAATATATTGGTAAAGGTTTATGATATTGGCAAAGGTTTATGATTTCTAAAATAGTTGAAGATATAGTTCAATTTATGTTTTTATCTTGAAAAATATTTTGAATTTCTAAAAAAGGGGTATGTTATGTCGGCCTAAGTGTCCCTAATTTGGGGCCATACATAAATTCAGCAATCAACTAAATTTTCAATAGCAACTAAAAATATCCATTAGTACCGTTCCAATGACGCGTTCATCTAGATATAATAGAAAAAAAGCAGATTTTTAGCGATGGGCCCAATCTTAGATCCATAGGCCAACATTAGAGCCATTTCCCCTAGTTTAATTTATCTAATTGTCTAAAAATAGTGATAAAAATAGTAAAAACACTAGTTTACAAATAAAAGCAAAAAAATTAACTCCAATGTTTGACCTATGATTCTTATGTAAAATGTTGTGCAAAAATTTTATCAATTTGGCATTAATTTGGCGTTAAAATAATTTATATAGCTTCATTACAGCCGGAGATATTTGTATTGTAGTAAATACATTTTTTTGAGTGAATTTTTGTTTAAGATGTATCTAGAAAACTATCCTACTTAGATTTTTTTCTGACTACATTTTTGGATTCAGCACATGATTTTACATGGAAAATCGCCACCAGCGTACAAAGTTGAAATATGCTGTAAGCTAGTGTAATTGAAAATTAATGGTTTGGACTTACCTTTCGCCATCCCTCTTCAGTTTCGAAGCTTTCACGTATTGGCTGATTTGTCTCAGAAGATCCTGATTCGTCCTATGGTAATGCCTGTTGAAATTCTTCGTCTTTCAGCTTTTGTTTCTTCGTGCGGCCCGCACCAGGAACACTGTTTCTCTTTCGAGGAGCCTTCGCAACTTCCGGTGATGAACCACCATTTTCACTATCAGATGATTCAGGTTTGGGATACGTTTTAAAATTTCGTTTTTCCACCACGCGATAATCGAATTTTTCTTTCGCTTCTTGAAATATATTTTCGAACTATGCACTTTCACTGCAGCTTGGTTTCTTAATCAACGCTTCTTGTTTAGCAACACACACTTGAATTGTTTTTATTATTTCACAAATACACGCGATGCAGGAAAGATTTTGTTTTGCTGTGGTTAACTGCACGGACACTGAGTAGATAAAAGGAAGATTGATGACGATTCTGAAGATTTCCTGCAAGAAGTAAATGTGAAAAATGAAAGAGGATTTTTCGTAGATTGATTCGATAGTGTGAGATTTTTCGAGCATCTGAAATTGAGATTAAGATATGACGAACCCCTCGCTTGTATCCAACATGATTTATTCTCAATTTATCGTTATTTTTACCATTTATTTTCAAACGCTTTCATCAAAGAGTTCTTGCGATAACGCGTAGATGACCATTGCCGAATAATTATTACATCCGTTTTCAAGTATCGATAATTTTCGCAGAATATTTGAAATTGAAATACAAAATGATCATGCTCTCGGTTCTAATGGTTTTTCTTGCAAATTAATTTATGGATCACCCCGTCGTGCGGCTCATTTCGCTTCTCTGTTTTGTGTGAGCGTTTCAAGTCACATTGTTCTTCCACTTGGAGACTGTTTACTCACAAATACATACGAAAGCCAGATTGTTAAGGAAAACGAAATCTAATGCTTGGGGTTGCGTGACAAAAAATAAATAAAGTTGAAGATGCTAATTTCAAATAACAGACTGTAGTGGTAATTTTTATACGATAGATGGAGTAGATGAAAGCATAGAGTTGATAGTTCCGTTAGAGTACGGCAGTGTGAAGATTGCATATAGATATTAGAATGAGCTAGGACAACTTTTAAGGAAGGTACAAATCGGTTTTTTTCATCTCTCTTTACCAAACTCCCCCTTTGGAGAGGGATGGTGAGGGGTGTCCCCCCCCCCACCACCACTGAAAAAACCGAGCTGTACCTTCCTTAAAAGTTGTCCTAGCTCGCTATTCTAATATCTATATGCAATCTTCACACTGCCGTAATCTAACGGAACTATCAACTCTATGCTTTCATCTACTCCATCTATCGTATAAAAATTACCACTGCAGTCTGTTATTTGAAATTAGCATCTTCAACTATGTAAATCGTTGACTTCACGTAGAAGTAATACTAAAACATATAGTCAAAGTAATAAATAAAGGTTTGTATTGAAATAATGCATTGTTAATTGTATTCGTAGGAAATCTCGGAGGAAATACTACTAACAATGTATTAAAATGAGCTACGAAAGTCAAATGTGACCTTTCATACTAAATATTTGTGTAATTAATGAGCAACGTTAGCAACCACTACAATTGTGGTCCTAAAATTGAACTTAGGGAATAGATTTCTGAAAACCTAAACAATATATTAATCTTGTGTGAATTGCTAGAGAAAGGAATTTCAGTTCTCCAATTTTGCACGGAAGAGTTTTTCGATTGAGCTTTGCGTTATTTTGTAAAAAATCGATGAAGTGAGTCATTCTGAACCGATCCACTTTCACATTGATGGTCCTCTGATTGGCCCTCTTTTATATTATATTTTTTCTTGCTTTACGAATTTACGATATATCTACGCAAAGAAATCCGAGAAAATTAATTTCAAATTTAATTAAGATCCTAAGACCAAACACTGGGGTACTAGTAACACAATTGACACACTTACCCTATTTACATTATGAAATAATGACTAGGGTGTGAGAAATTAGACGAAACAAATCAAGTCCCGAGCAAGGTGACAGATAATCCTAGTTTAACACTTGCACCCTTGCAAATAGTAGATTTTGCCACACAACGTAAATAAAGGGATTGTCCTTCATGGTATTTCTCTATGGGAAACCAACTTTTTGTTTGGATGACAAAAAACAGGCAAGAATGCTATATGAAAAGAGCGAATTTATGATATTCACGATGAAATGAAATAAAACCAAAAGAATTGAAAAAGATTGATGGAGGTTGATTTTTTTTTCTCTGTTCGGGACATAAAACTACTGCGACCAGTAATTTGATCTATTGTAGTAAATCCCGTGTCCTTAGTTTAGTGCATGTTGTATTACTCCATCACTATTGAGAAATGATGAAGTATTCGATTTTGATACAGTTGTCATTCTTGTCTT